TGTAAGTGGATATTTGGAGATTTCTTCTGGTGTCCCTACTTCTTAGTTACGAGTGCCTGGGATTGAAGTCCCACCTACTCTAGAGATCTGCATCTTCACGTTAATTAAATAAATAATCGGGATATTTGGAGTACCCCAGGATTCCGCAAACAGGACTAAATGAAACACACGTTCACTTCAATTACATTGTTGGCCAGGCCTCGCTGCCATTCTTTCCACGCAGTAGAGTGCAGTGTAGTAATTTCTTGCTAATTATTGAGTTCCAACGGTTATTCAAGTAGAAATAGCCACAACCATTCTGCATTGATGTTAGGGACAGGGACTAGGTTACTTAGAGTTAATTGAATTAAAATGCTTCAGAAATATTTTGGGAGAAACGATTATGATGAGCTTACACCTCAGGAAGGACCGCATTTTAATTTTGAACTAAGGATGTTAACATTGAGGAAATTATTTCTTTATCTGTCCCATCGCCAAACGTTTTGTTTGTCTGACCGTTTATATCTTTCCCTCTCTTTTGTAACCATGGTCAGTCTACAACACTGTTTGCTCTTTAGTCAGAAGTCTGTGGGTTCAGGAACTTATATAATTTTGCTTCATACCATGTGGGTGTTGCTGGTTGGGCCAGCATTTTTTTGCTTAACTACTCCCTGAAATGACTTGGCACCAGATCTACAAACATCCACTTCCTCCACCACTAACCCTCAATAGCAGCAAGATGTACCATCTACAAGATGCACTGCAGAAATTCACCAAAGATCCTAAGACAGCACCTTCCAAATCTGCAATGATTACCATTGAGATGGACAAGGGCAGCAGAGACACGGGTACACCACCTCCTGCAATATCCCCTCTAAACTACTCACCATTCTGATTTGGAAATATAACATCATCCCTTCAGTGTCGCCCACATCCATGAATGACTTATTTCTAAAAAACAAGCCATTCAGTTCAAGGGCAACTAGGGATGGGTAACAAATGCTGATCTTGCCAACAACACCTGCATCCTGTTAAAGATTAAGGAGAACATGGATAAAGTTGAAGAATTGATGATGTGGAGGTGCCGGTGTTGGACTGGGGTCGACAAGGTCAGAAATCACATGACACTAGGTTATAGACCAACAGGTTTATTTGAAAATACAAGCTTTCGGAGTCTTACTCCTTCTTCAAATGTTAGTGAGAGAGGTAATATCACACACAGAACTTAAAAGTAAAAGATCAAGGGTCACACCACTGATGAGGATGTAGTAAACAAACCTAAGGTGCTGTTAAATCTTTAATCAGTTAGAAGGTTTTAATTGATTAAAATCTATATGTAAATCCCCGAATTCCTTTCAAGTCAGTGTCCTGAGAGAATGAAAAGTTTTATCAATGACATTTTAGGTCAGACAATGCATGTTAGATGTGAGGCCTTGTTTAGAATCTGTTTGTGTTTTGGTTTGGAGTCAGACTGGTTTTATTAATAAAGTAGGAATTTATAAAACACCACATTGATTGACTGTCTATAAATTGTGTACTTTTTGAACAAAATAGACTGTATTTGCAAGTACAAATTCACTCTATAGATTTGTTTGTGTGTGTGTGTGTTTGTGTTTGTGTGTGTGTCTGGGGTGGAGAGAGAGAGAGAGTGTGTGCGTGTGTGTGTGTGTGTGAGGGGGAATAAAAGACAGAGAGAAAGTGTGTGTGGGAGAGAGAGTGTGCGCGTGGGCGAGGGAGTGTATGCGCGTATGTGGGAGAGAGTGTGTGTGTGTGTGAGGGAGAGAGAGTGCGTGTGTGTGCATGCTTGAGAGAGTGTGAGAGAGGATCTGTGAATGTGTGTGTGTGTGTCTGTGAGTGTGTGTGTGTATATGAATGTGTGTGTCAGTGTGTGTGTGTGTGTGTCTGTGAGTGTGTGTGTGTATATGAATGTGTGTGTCAGTGT